CACAACAGGATAGAACAGGACAAGATGGGTGGATACATCTTGTACTGCTAAAGCAAAACTGAGTGACGAGGATGTGAAAGAAAGAGAATCTGGTGTTGAGTTATTGAAAAGTGCATCACAGGTCTTCACTTTGAAACATGTTCATGAGAACTTCACTGTGCAATACCACTTCATTCACAGACAAAGTTTTCCTTATAACTTACTTTCAGGTGCTTTGTGCAAACAGGGATTAGGAATTTCTATCAGAAGTAGAGCTTTTTCTGGTCCTGTTGGAAAAGCAGCATGAAGGTGTTACCCCCAGAAAGTTTACCTTTTACCCCTCCCTCAACATTTCACCTGGAAGACAATCTGAAGGTGTAAGATACTGTGAAATAAACAGTTCCTACAGCTGGTACTACGCAGGTCTCATTAACAGCCCAGTCCCAAGGAAGGCAAACATTCAACACTCTTATTCGTTTTATTTACATATTTAAAACTTTCTGCATTCCTAAATAGGACTCCAGGCCATTTGGGGATATTAGTGACATGTAATAGTTCACTGGGAGTTGCAGGTATGCAGTGCTCAGCAAAAGTAAGGCAGTAGCTGTGAGCTAAATCAACTGAGTGCTTTGCTCTGATTTTTGCTCTCAGATCTCCGCTCACAGATCTCCACGGAATTAAAGAGCTGTACCTGACTTCAATTCACTTTACTCCCTCCAAAAAAACATCTGAAAGCAGAAACCCACAGCCCCCTCACCTTTTCTCCACTTCTTACTCGTTAAAAAAATTGCAGTTCGATATCTCTATGACCTTTCAGTTTTATATGACTTAAATGGAACAAAAAAGCTGTTTTCTTCTTCAAGATGAGCTTCCCTTTTGCTGTGGGCTCACTTAGGCTTAGGACTAATGTAGCAAAGCACAAATTACCTCCAGGATTTGATGTTTTGAGGCACTGTTCCCAGTTAAACATTCCTAAATTTTATAACCATGATTCATGCATTCTGGGATGGTCTGTCTTCCATCCTGTGGAATCTATAGAAATGGGGAGGAATGGTCCTGAAAATGTATTTACTATAGGTTTAGCTACTTATACTAAATGCAGACTTGGAAAACGAGGAATTATTGGACATTACACTTTTCTTCACATCCTAATAGCAAGTTTATGCTTTTTCTCTGTGGATTGATGCTCAGGAACTGTTGTCATCATTCTAATGCACTCCAGTGACTGTGCTGACATTACCTGTTGCTGTGTTCCAGAACAGCTGTGTGCACTATTGTTCGTTAGGAAAAAATATGAGGAAAACTCGTGATTCAGCTCTCTTTACTGCCTCTTCTTCCCCCATGAAAATCAAGAAAGGATACTAACTCTACTGAGTGTAATGACTAGCAGTATTGTTCACTACTCAACACTGGAAGATGGGGAAATATTTCTTTTGAAGGACAGCTTTTGCTCAGTTGCAAAGTCTCCTTTGATTACCTTGTTCTCTGAGGATGAGTAATGTGGTTTAAATTCTTTTTAGTTTAGTTCAAGGTTATTAATCATCTTCAAACTGGCAACAACTACACGAATTCACTAGTGTTTCATGTCAATGACTGCACATTTTCTTTCTTTTGTAGATGTTTTCTTTGCCATTTAAGTGTTGTTGATTTGCACATGCACTGGTAGAGGCCATTACCTCTACTACTAGTTTGTGGGGTGGGACAGGAATTTCTTCAACTAAAATCACTCTTTGCTGAGGCTAAATACTAGACTCCCATGAATCCATGACAGTCTCATTAGCAGATAAATTACTTTGTAGATTAGTGGCGCTGAGAGTTTGGAGGCCCGGGAGGTATTACTCCTGAGTGGTAAACCTCCACCACTGGCAAAAACATTGGAGTCAGATTACCAAAAGTGATCATCTGACCCCACTAAAGTCTTTAGGATCTTTGCCTTTGATGTGAATGAGGTCAGGTATTTATTTTGGAACTATTCCTCGTTTTTAGCTATGTGATCCCAAGGAAGTCACGGAGTTTGCTGTATTTCACAGTTTACTGGATAATATAAATGTATTGTGAGATTAGTAGTAACACTTTCAGATGGAAATTATTACATAATTTTAGACTATTTTATAAATATGAAGAACTCACATTAAGTATTGGGCATATCATCGTCAGACCATATGTAGCTAGTCTTTCATCTAAAATAAAGGCTTATTTTTTCTAAATCTATGACATAGGGTTTTTAGCATCATTTTCTCATTACTGAAAAAATATTTTCCCCTTCTATAAATAGAATGTTATACCCCTATTCCAGTATTTACCTTGTAGCAAACAAGGTTACCTTTAATTAAATAAAAATATTCTACATTGGGAATGAGAGGAAAGAAAGAGAGGCTATGTGGAAGTGAACAATACATCAGAAGCAAACCCTGGCTCAGAATAGAACTGGTAGAACTGATCTGAAGAGATAAGGTCAGGAGATGTACTAAAACCAGTTATTTACTTTCCACAAAGGAGAGGTTTGAATAAATAATGTTCTTGACAATTACTTGCTTTTGAATGTGATTAAATTATTTTTTTCCCAGAGAGATATGTGAAACGTATATATATGTGAACTGCGGAGTCCTTACTAAAAAAAGAAATCGAGCCAGAACCAAAACCAAAAGCCAAAACACCTATAAGTGTTAGCATTAGATGATAAGATAATGTTATTTCTGCAATTCCTTGCTCCTACTTGTTGTCTACTGTGTTTCAGAGCAAATTCATGTCACTTTCAGATAGCGAATCAGAGAAGCTAACTAAAGTTATCTATGCAATGGTAAAACATTCTTTTCAGACCGTTAAAACCAACATATACATATTAGAACAATCTCAAGTCTTACTGAGACTAAGAAGAAAATTGGGTTTGCTGTAGAGCAAAATATGTCAGAGAATGACCCGAAATCATAAGCAATTAACTTCTTTCTTTTCTGAAGATACATATCAAAGTCAATTATATACTTGCACTTGGTAGCAAGAAATCCCCAGGAAAGGGATTTTCACTGCAGTGAAAAATATCGTATTAAAGTTTCGTGCTTTTAAACATATCTACAGAGTATCCTACTTTATAATTTTGTTGTTACTGTTGACATATACAGTTACCTCTGGAGACTGAACACAGATTTGGGGGTCAAAAGAGCAGGTTCAGTCTTACAATGTCCTAGCAACTTCTGGTTGTGCTGTGATTGGCAAACTCCTATGAAATTCAAAAAAGACCAAAGGCAGCAGTATTTACATAATGAGCTCAATAAGCATGTACCTGGAGTTACAAAATCACATAGGAGTTTCTGCAGATAATCTTCATTCCTAATGAGAAGGTTCAATAAAACCAGTGCAGTTCTGTCTGAAATCAGTGAGAGTCTTTCCTGTGATATTACAAGGGTCAGAGACCGATTTTTGACATTAGAAGAGGCCAGTATGAACATCCAGTCTGACCTTTGCATAAAGCAGGGCAAAGAATGGCTCAATAGCTTGAGATCTTTTAGAAAGATAGCTAGCCTGACTTTAAAGATTTTCTAGTAATGGAGATTGTAATCCAATTCTGTTTAAGTGATTAATTGCTTCAGCTGTTACAGAAATGCATTTTATTAGAGCATGGAGATGGATCGGACCACAAGGCCACACACAAGAAATTCTTTGTTCTATCTTTAAGTATAAAAAACTAAGAAGTACCCATTTTTCTTTAGGCTAAATAGCCCCAAGTACTTAATAGAAATTAAATAAATTTTTAAAAATGTTTTAAAATAGAGATGTTGCCGTATAATTACAGGCTTTTGCCCTTAAACATCCCCAAGTGGGTCATGGATGTAGTCAGATATTCATTTCATGCCGCTTGATTGTGGCATGTTTCAGAGCCCAGGAAGCTCAGAAATTGTCAGTTAAAGGTAACTGGGGGCAAAAATGGCCCCTGGTCTCACACAGACAGAGAGATGGCTGTAGATGTGGGCTGCTGCTGAGAAATCCAAGGCAGGGTGTCTTTGGGGACAACTGTGCAACATGTTCAAATGTCCCAGTTATGAGAGCAGCCAAAAATTATGTGCTGGTTCCTGGCCCCTGTGTCTGAGTGGTGGCCCCAGTCTCTGCTATGCAGTCAACTCGTGGCAGAGTTCAGCAAACTCAGCTCCTCAGTCTCACCCCACACACTTTGTATTTCTGGAGCTGTGCATCTGGTGGAGCACAGGCCCTCCTGCGCTGCAAAGGGGTGCTGGAGCTCTCCTTGTTGCTCACTACACACAAAATGGGGAGGTAAGCCCCACGAAGGGCTCCCATGCTCAGGGTAATTTTGGCTGTGGCTAGCATGGACTGTAGTTCCACAAAGCAGACACTGCTCTACAGGGTGCACGAGCCACCAAGGACAGACTTCCATAGCTAACCAAATGTCTTTTCTCTTTTCCTTAATGAGAAAGACTTTGTTATTCTCTCATCACAATATGCAGTTCTGATTGATATTTACTGGGCTCTGCATGACCCGTCTCTGTCATCTTTAGCGTGGTTAATTGGAATTATTGAGCGGCGCCCGGGCCTGGCAGGCTGGGATTCACCCCTGTTGGGATGGTCCTCACCTGCCCGCCCTGGTCTGCTTCTGCGCAGCCTTGCTCCCGTCAGACTGAATTAAGCTGCGCTGTCAGGAGCCAGGGACCCTTCAACAGTTTTCCAGCACAAGCAACACTAAATTAGTGTTTGGTAATAGGCTGCACACTGTTTTGTAATAAGAAAATATGGATGATTCTATTTATTCCCTCTCACTCCCTGCGATGATAAGAAATGTTCTAATTCATTATTAATTTGTTCCAACTATTTCTGGTAAATCTAAACTATGAATAACTTTAGCTATGCCATTAGCAATACCTCAGAACTACAGATGGATTTTTGTTTCAGGACACAGGCACATGGCAGTTCCACTGTTTCTAAAGGTGTACCCAAAATTCTGTCACATTTGGGTACAAAACCAGTGCTTGTTGTTCACCTTGGGTTACATCTGCATCTAAAGCAACCTGGAACACAAAAATATTGTGGCTATTATTTGTCCAGTAGAAATTATCGTAGCTTGGCAGCATTCTGTGAAACTTTTTATATTCAATCTGCTTAAGGATTTACTCTCCCCCAGAACATTAGACCGAATGGAGAGTGGGAATAGACCTAGAGCTGCTGCCAGCCTAAAGGCTTTTATTTTGCTGTGTGGATAAGCAAGATGTTTAGTGGCATTTTGTAGGTTGCTGACTTTAGTGTCAAATAGGCCTTTTGAATATTAAATCTTAAAAAATCTTTTTTTTTTGGTTGATGTTTGCCTTTCATAATTTATTTCTCTACTCTTCATATATAAATGATTGATCAAAGAACCACTGTTGAAAAGCATCAAGGACAATTTTTTTCTTCTCTTGCAGAATATGAGTTTATTTGGGTGAAAGGTGGGAGATTATAAATGTACTTATTAGCCACCCAAGGAAATTTTCTCTCACAGACACACCATGGTGGTACCTCCTTGTGCAACCAAGTCCACTGTTTGGTCTTTCATTCATTTAGAAAGTGAGTTTCTTGCCTGTGTGTTTGGATGGGAATGACTCTGTTGTTGCAGCCATATGCCTTAATTTACTGAACAAGGGGAGGAGGACACCCACGATGTAAGATCGAACACTGAGCTTCTGTGTGGGCAATCATGCAAGACACAGGCAACCTACTGGCCTTGTCTCTCACCGTGAGCTCTAAGCAGCAGCAAGAGCAGAATGACTGCGCTGATGATGCTCCTACATTGCTGCCCTGGGAATAATTGTCCTGCCTCCTCACTTCAGAGCAGAAAAGAAAAAAATCCCAGTCCTTTTCTTCAGAGTGTATATGTTTGAGAATTTTGTTTAACTATTTACTTGGAAATAAAAGGCAGCAAGGAATTATCTGGAAGATTCTTGCAAAGACTTCACTAATGGTTGGTGGTCACCTGCAAAGAGGCTGGCTAGGCTCCTGGCCACGAGGTGAGGTTTGCCTCTATCATCTCTTGAGACAGTTGCAGTCCCAGTACTGTCCCTGGTTGTTGTTCTCTATTTTTTCTGCTTGTACCTCCTGCCCAGAACATCCCTGGCTGAGCGAGCTTCTCTGGATTATAGCTTTGTCCCTTCAGACATGAGAAAGCACACAGATGTGTATGCTTTCTACAGTGTACCTAAATATTTTGCTGCTTTTACTTGAAGAAATCATGAAAGGGAATGGTTTAATAAAAGACAAACAAATCTGTGAATGAAACACTTCAGTTATCTCTGTCCCTGAGTTGATTGCCATCTAACCTCCCTGAGGAAAGTGGGGCTTTCCTGCCTGTGCCGTGGATGCCATGTCTCAACTGGAAGTGCTGAAATGTCTGCCAAGCCCTGCTTCCCCTGTTTGAGCGTTAATAACTTCTGTTCTGCTGCCAGGCAATTCCTATTTAGCCAGTATCAGATGACCACAGGTACAGATGATGACTTCATGGACGGGTTAATCTCCCCTCTCACAAGTCCATCTTTCCTAGCCTTTGGGGAGGTGGAGGAGCCTGGAAAGCCAAGAAAAGATAAAAGTTGGTGTTATGTTTATGAAACTGATGCAGACGTACTCTTTGGCAGACTGGTCAGCAATTGGTTCCCCAAGCCATCCCACTAAGAAAGGGGGCCTGGGGAGAGATAATAACAAGATAGATGATAAACCCATAGTGTGTGTGTGTAAGAGAGAGACAGCTGGTTTGGCAGGATTGCTTGTTTTTGAGAAAGAAGAGTTCATCCTTTCCTATATTGGCAGAAATACATGTGCCCTTTCATGATAAAATTATGTATCCTAGGTATATCAATCTTCCAAGTTCCGTTTAAAATATGCAGCTAAGATGGGATCTACTGAGAAAATATGAATACAGTGGCTGGGCATCCAACAGGTGTGCATGAGGAATCTGACTTTATGGACCAATAGAGTCCAGTTCAATAGATTGCTCATAGTATTTTTAATAAAATATGCAGAAATATAAAAAAGGGGTTTTCTGAGGAGTGAAAAAGATACCCATCATGGTACATGATGAAATATGCTCCTTTGAACTAAAGCTATAGTGGTAGGGTTTACAGCAGTCAGTCGCAAGCAAGCTTAACAAGGATCAGAGAATGTAAGCTCCCCTAGAAACATCTATAGAATTATAATGCTCTAGTTAATAAAATAGATATTTAAAATAGAATAGTCAGATAAATTAAAAGGTCTAATTTAAGCTGGTAGGAGAAAGATGAAGGAAATTCTGCCAGTAAAAAACCCCCACTTTTCTTCAGATACTACTTTAGTAATTTGCCTTAGAGGCAAATATTATAAACCTTAAATCCCTCTCAGCCTTGAAATGACAGAATTATGTAGAAATTTACTTGTACATGGAGACCAGATTTAAACCTTTACTTACTCAGGCTCAGCTGCAGTCATGCCACATGCACATTCACATTACACACATGCCCCTGTGACGTGGACCGAGGCGCTATGAAACTTTTACTGACATGAATTGTGTGTGAGTTATTCACTCACCTTGAAGAGCTTAGAAGCTGCATCTTTTGCAAACTATTCTGACATCTCTCCTGCATGCACAGTACTACCAGGGTGGCACGGGGTTGCTACATAGAGTCTGTAGCCGCAGGTTTGTTTTATGGGAATCTTTACCCCTATTATTTCAGGCATCCTGGTACCTTCTGTAAGGATCTGGGCCAGTTGGGAGGGAGGAGAGGAAATACAGCCGTGTAAATCAAAAGTCACTGAAAGTAGCTTTTCTAAAGTGAAAACAGACAGAGCTTTAAAATGTATTGCCTGTGACTCTGGTCTCTTCAGAAAGAGGGAATGCTTTTGCCTGTTCTTTAGACTGACTGCGTGTTCAAGCTTGTAAACCGACGTTATCCACACAATCCCTACCACGCTGATTTCTAGAAAAGCCCTTGTTTACACCTGCTGTCGCAGAGTCATGTCAAAGGAAACAAAAAAAAAAAACCAAACCCAGCCCCCAAAGCCCGCTGAAGGGGAGCAGCGGGCAGCCCTTCCCTGCTAGCCGCTCTCACAGCCGGGCCCGGGAGCCCGGAGGGAGCGCGGGAGGGTTTATACCTCACCCCTCCCCAGCCGGGGGACGGGGCACTCCCGGCCCGCCCGACGGCGGCTTTGCGGCGCGGCCGCAGGCGCGGAGCTGCCGCGCGGTGGCGCCCTCCGCTCACGGACCGTCCGCGCCCGCGGGCCGAGCGAGCGGCGGGCGGGGCCGCGGGGTGTCCTTCTCCAGCGGGAGCGGTGGGGTGCCCCCTTCTCCAGCGGGAGCGGTGGGGTGCCCCCTTCTCCAGCAGGGGCCGCGGGGTGCCCCTTCTCCAGCGGGAGCGGTGGAGTACCCACTTCTCCAGCGGGAGCGATGGGGTGACCCCAACTTCAGCGGGAGCCGCAGGGTGCACCGTCTCCAGCGGGAGAGGTGGAGTGACCCCTTCCCTAGCGGGAGCCGAGGACTGCCCCCTACCTCAGCGACCCCGCCGGGCGTCCTGCCCCGTCCCCTCTAGTGCCGGCGGACCTTCCCGGTCCGACATGCCCGGCAGGGAATGACAGTTGGGGTAGTAGCGTCCCGCTCCGTTCCCAGTCCTGTCCCCCCGCCCGGGATCTCGTCGATGGCCATTTGGACGGGAATCGTTCATTCACGTTAAGTTGCCTTTATCTCCGGAAAAATATTAAAACCTTAAATGACCGTAATAGGAACGTAATTGTATGGTGTGTTTTTTGTTGTTGTTGTTTTTGAGAAATCGATTTGGGCTCAAATAACTCATCCAAGCATGTTACACCAAAGCCATTCAAATAGGAAACAGGAGAACTATATTATTGCTGCTTCCTGAACTCTCTGCTTATGATCGAAATAATTAAAATATGCAGTAATGGCTCCTGCAGCCTGGATTTCTTTGGGTAATTCTCGGAAATGAAGGGCACATTTTCGGCCGCGAAGGGAGGGGAGCACGGAGACGAGTGCGATCTCAGCGGCTGAGAGCCCGCCGGTGGACCGCGCCCGACGCAACACTTGGGGGGAAAATTATTCTGGCGGCAGGGAAGTCCCTAGAGAAGGGATTTCCTTCCCGGTCCCTCCGGCAAATCAACTTCTTTTTTTTTTTTTTTTTTTTTTTCCCCCTTATGGCGATGCTCTTCCCTCCCGCTCTGCCAAGCTCTGCGAGCTGCATATCTGTCTCTGCACAAGGCAGAGAGGAGGGGGAGGGTCGGGACAAGGCGTGAGCGGGAGGAAAGCCTCCCCCGCCGTCCCTGGCCAGTGCCGGCCGCGCGTGGGACCCTCCCTGCAGGGCGGCCGTGAGGCTCGTCCCTCACGCCCCGCAGCTTCAATACACGCAGGGCGCTGCTGGTTTCCCCGGGGGGCGCCTTGCGTAATGGGAACAACACTAACATTCCTTAAAGAAAAAAAAAGAAAGGACTCGGGAAAAAAAAAAGGCGCTTGTATCCCCAAATCTCCGTGGAAGTGGGGGGTTCCGCGCCAGGGCTGCTCCGCCTGCGCGCTCAGAGCCGGGTGGCTCCCCGGGGGCCTGTGCCCAGCGGCGGCCCGTGCCCAGCGGCAGCCCCGGGCGGCGTCGTGGGCTGAGCTGGCTCCGCGGAAAGACCCGGAGCAAAGACGCGGGGAGCCCGAAAAATCCGGGGACCCCCACTCCGCCCCAAACTGCCCTCCTCCCCCTCCTGGTGCCTTCCCATCTCAGGTAAAACTTTACCGTGACGAACATCCTTTTAGATTTGTGGGATAGGTTGTGGGGGTTTTCTGCGTGTTTGTTTGGTTGTTGGGTTTGGTTGGGTTTTCTTTTTCTATTTTTTTTTTTTTGGGGGGGAAGAGGAAAGTGTGACTTGGTGTTTATGAGAAGCTTTATGACTCCTGATAAGCTCATCTTTGAGGACGACACAGAACTGTGTTCCTTGAGGAATTGGGGTGGTGACGTCTTTTCTGATACCCGATTATTACGTGACTGAGAAAAAAAAAAAAGGCATTTGATTCATGAATAAAAATCCGGACACCACCACGGGGGCAACAAACAATATTGCCCGTCCTCTAAGGCAACAAGCAGGCAAATGTTTACGAAGAGGGCTCTTGCTGAAGCGGGGTGTTTGCAAAGATTTTCTTGCTAATTGCGTATCAGACGGAAGGCTGCGGAAGGCTGGTCAAGTTTGGAGCCACCGTGCAGGAAGAGAAGAAGAAGAGAAGGCTGAAGGCAGGCGCTCAGTGAGGGGAGAGATCTGGGGAAGACAACATCGCACGCAGCCAGCCCGCGGCTCCCGCCTCCGCTCCCTCCCGGGCTCGCTTGCTCTCTTCCCTCTTCTACGCTCCTTTCTCAGGCGACATATCGCTCCATCCCTCTTTCTCCCTTGCCTTGTAGACCCCACTCCAGATCTGTGCTGCTACCTGCAAACTTTTTTCCCTTTATCTTTTTTCTCCCCTTCCTCTTTCTCTTTTTTTTTTTTGGAGTGAATTGCCCTAAAACCAGCAAACAACTAACTGCCGCCGCTTTTGCGTCTTCTGCATCTTGCGCGTTCTTCGCCCATCGGAGAGGCAATGCCACGAGGGTTTTAACTCCTTTCGGACGCCACTTGGGAGAGAGCTCGATTTCTCCCCCTCCCTATTTTGGGTCTTTTTTTTTTTTTTTTTTTTTTTTTTTTTTCCAAACCCTACCCATTTAGTTTCGCAGCCAAACGCTCTCAGTGACGGGTGTCTAGAGTTTAATGGTAAGGACACGAGGCGGCTCTCCGGGCCTTTCCGCAGCGGTCCCGGGGAGGGCGGGCGGCCGGGCACCGACGGGGCGGGCACCGGCGGCAGCGCTCTGCGCTGGGCACCCCTCCGTGCCTCTCCGTGCCGCTCAGCGCTAGCACCCGGCTGCCCAGGGCTCTTGTCCCCCAGAGACACGCTGCCTCCCTTCTCGGCAGGCAAGGCCAGGGGCGTGGTGGGTCGTAGGGTGGTTTGTTTTCTTTTTTTTTGGTGGTGTTTTCTGTTTGGGTTTTTTTTTTTTTGACAGCAGGTTTCCTTTCCCTCCCGCACAGAGTGGCAATGTGTAGCAAAGCGATCTTAGCACTCCTGGTCTATGGCATAATAATGCACTGCAGCGTCTACTGCTCACCTGCGGCCGGACTTCAGTACCCAGCGCTCAGGTAGGTCCGTCCCCTTTCCGGGGGCTCTGTCGGGACCCCTCCAGCCCCCCGCTGCCCCAGCTTAGCTAAGGACAACGGAATCTTACTGGGGAGAAAAGTGGAAGGGGATGTAGCGGGGAGTCATCAAAGGAAAACCCCTCCACTTAGGCTGTGTGCCCACCCCCTCCGCCCCGGCGTATGACCCCTCCCGGCTGCAGCACTGGCATCCCTCAGGGCCGCTCCCTGGGATCCCGGCGCTGTAAACCTGCGGCCTCTTGTCCCCGGGAGTGGGGGACCTGCTCTGCTGCATCTCGGCTGTAGCGGGCCGAGGTCCCTGCTGCATCCAGACGGCGCCCAGCAGCTCCTCCCCACCTACCCCTTGTCCTGCGGGGGCCTCGGCCACCTCCACCTTCCCGCAGCTCGCCCAGGGTGAGGATCACCTGTCCGGGTCAGGGGAATGGGGCGCGGGGACTGGTGCGCGGTTGTCTGCAAGCATGTGAGAGCTGTCATGGTTCGTGTAGCGGCATTGGAGCGGGTGGGAATTCAGTCTCTTCCCCTGTTTACCTGATTGTATACGACAGTCCTTCTCAAGAAGGAAGGGTGCTGGCACGAGGTTGTTTGGTTTTCTGTGTTGTTCGGAGTTGTCTTGCTGTGTGGGCTGATGCCTGTGCTGTCATTTTCCAACTGGGAGTCGTGGGCGTTTGAACCCCACTGTGTTTGGGGCAGGAGTGGGGGACAAGTGGGGGACACCCAGAGGCATCGGCACAAGGGAGTATCCCACGCTGGGCTGCGGCTGGGGGCGCAGGGTACGCGGTACGGGACGGCCGATGGCAGCCTCGTCCCACCCTGCTTGTCGCCTGTTTGGGTGACCGGTGTTGCTTGGCTTGGGGGGAGTTTTGGGTTCGGTGCTATCGGTGCTGTCGTCCTGCTCCACCGGCGCTTGGCTCTGTTCCGGCGTGCCCTGCGGGGGTCACTGCCGTGCGGCTCAGCTGTGAGCGCGGGGGGGACGGGGGGGACCTGCCGGGCGCGCAAGTTTGTCCGAGGAGGGTGTCCTATTTGGGGCTCCGAGGTGTCCTTGCAATAAGCGGGAGCCCGTCGGGGCTGGTTCAGAGCAGCCCCGTTCATCTCCCTGGTCAGTGCGACTGGGGGGCAGCAGGCTCGGCGGCCTGCGGGGCCATTAACCGGCAGCAAGCCGGCATTCTTCATTCAAGCGCCTGAATTAGCAAGAGTGGAACACTTTAGCGGCATCTATTATTAATACCTCTGCTAAAGCTCACTGACAAAAATAGCTGCCTGTAACGTGCAATGACCTACATCGTACTGCAGAGAGGGAGGCAGAGAGCATGGGGGGCGGGGTGGGGCTGGGACACACACAAAACTGGCGCGATCTCAAAGTGCAGAGCCACCGTTCAACGAAAAACAACCGGCGAAGTCCTCCCCGGCCCGGCGGGCGCTGCGAGGAGGAGCGGGGCGAGGCCCCCGGCCCCGGCGGCGAGGCTGGCGCTCGCCGCCCCGTCTCCGCCGCGGAGGCTGCTCGGCTCCCGCCCAGCCCCTGGCACACGAACGCGTGTGTGTGCGGCAGCCTGCGCGGGCGTGCGCTCCGCTCGGCAAGCACCAACCCTGGCTGTGGCAGAGAGGAGCTGTTTCTCGGGCCGGGGCGTGGGCCGGGGGGAGCGAGGGAGGGGGCAATGTTTGGGGGGTTTCTCGGAGCACGTCTGACGGCGGGTGTGTTCCCTCCTCCGCGGTCCTGCCCCGCAGAGGAGGCGGAGGGCGGGGATGGGGAGCGGGCGGGTGCAAGGAGGGGATGGGGGCAGTCGGACGGGGCTCCCGGGGTGCCCGGGTCGGCTCCGACGAAGGGTGGTCACCGACGCAGTCGGAAGCCGGCAGCGGGGAGTGGAGCGGAGCGCCCCGCGGAGCCCGGCTGACTCCTTCTCCTTGCTGCTTTCGTTGCCAGGCTGGAGGATGAAGTCTACGACGAGGACGGAAACACCCTGCAGGACTTCGCCTACGACCACGAACCCCTCGGCATAGCGAATCCGTCCTCCATGATCGGCGAGATGTACACCTTGTATTACCCACCGGAAAAGAGGTGACAGCAACTCGCGGGGTGTCAGGCGTGAATTTTGAGCCGGGAGCAAAACGGGTCTGACAGAACCGATTGGGGGGAAAAAATAATAATGGTACTCAACAAGCTAACAGCAACAACATCAAAATAAAAATCCCGAACCCAAACAAACGACCACATTGCCCGGGTCCGGTGCTCAGTGTAAAACCCAGAAGAAATGGAAAAGCCGCCTTACCTCCAGCAGCACGGGGGAGGGAGCGGGGGAGCCACCCGCGCCGGGGAGGGCTAGCGATGCTCCGGCAAACGGAGCAGAAATGCCCAGCCGGCGCGGAACCGAGCCAGCGCGACGGGGAGGGATCTGGGTGGGGACGAGGGGTCCCGGGGGACGCGGGGAGATGCCGCCCTCCGCTCGCTGGCGGGGAAGGATGGTCACCGTCATCGCCCGGGCTCCCGCAACCGGCTGCAGCCCGCTCCCGGGCCTCGTCGCTCACCCGTGGGCTCTTCCCTCTGCCCAGGCACGCCGATGGGATCTTCAACAAAGCCTACAGGAAACTCCTGGGCCAGTTATCCGCCAGGAAATATCTGCACTCCCTGATGGCCAAGCGGGTCGGGTAAGGGTCTCCGCTTGCTCTTTTCCGCGGTGGGCGTTGGTGCTGCTGGAGCGGAGGCGCTGAAAGGGCGGTGGCTGGGGAGAATAAGGCTGTCCCGGCCGGGGCCGGGAACGTGTTGCGCCCGCGGTGAGGCTGGGGGAGTCCGGCTCCCCAAGCCTCAGCCGCTCCTGGCCGTGGCTCCCGGCCGGCTCCCGGTCCGCTCTCGGCGCAGCGTGAGCCCGGTTGTCAGCTCAGGCGGTCGCGGAGGTTTGGTTGGGTTAATACGCTCGGGCATATAGATAGATAGATAGATAGATATAGATACACACACGCTCTCACAGACACATATATATGTGTGTGTGTATCTATATCTATGTCTCTGTAATTTTTTATAATCAACTGATTTAAAATCGAGAATTTGGGCAGCCTCCACGATTTGGTGGGGGGAGCAGTTTATGGGGAGCAATGACCGAGGGCGCGGCTGCAGAGGGGGTGGGGGGAATTTGGTTGCAGCCCGGCGCAGCCCCAGCTGGCGGGCGGGGCTCCCCGGGGCTCCCCGTCGCCAGCGGGGCAGGGGCGAGCCCGGTGCCACCCGCTGCCCTTCGGCAGAAGGTAACACGTTAATAAAGCCCCAGGGAGAGCAGCTTTCCCGGCCGCAATGAATAATTCATGGTGGGGAGATATTGTCTCTCCCGCCGCCGCCACTTGCGCGCACCGCGTCGGGAGCGGGTTTCCGCGCGGTCTTTGTCTCCCCGCGCATTTTACGCGCAACGTGTTGCGCCCGGGGCAGCGGGAGACGCGGGGCTGCGCAGGGCGGTGCGGAGGGGCGCGGAGGGGGGCGGAGCGGCCCCGCCTGATGCAGCTGTGCTTCTCGGTGCTTGCAGCGGTGCCAGCGGCGGCCTGGGGGACGAGGCGGAACCGCTGACCAAGCGGCACATAGACGGCATCTTCACGGACAGCTACAGCCGCTACCGGAAACAAATGGCTGTCAAGAAATACTTAGCAGCCGTCCTGGGGAAAAGGTATAAACAAAGAGTTAAAAACAAAGGACGCCGAGTAGCGTATTTGTAGCGATGTGAGTAACCAGCCACTCCTGTGTATACAAAGTCCTAAGGGAGAGAGAGAGAGAGAGAGAGAGAGAGAGAAAGAGAGAGAGAGAAAGAAAGAAAGAGAGAGAGAGAGAGATAAACCCAACAACAAGAACAAAAAAATCTAAACAAAAACAAAAGTCATTTCCAAACTGACTGAACAATCACCGCTCCTGTGTTATCTAAACATGTATTTATGTATGAAGTAAAGCCATTAAATGAATATTTTGATAATAATATTGTTTTTCTTTTGTACAAAAGCACTAGAGAAACGCACAGATCTACTTTGTGGACCAATCATTAAGTTATATATAATATATAAATATATATATATATATACTACTAAGAATACTAAAGAACAATTCTTCATGAAAAGCCTGCACAAGAACAAGAATTCGCTGAGCTGTTTATGTTTTTATATAAAATAAATAGAAAAAAAAGACAATCATTGTTTTGAATATTACTCCTATTTTTGTAACAGAAATTAAAAGGATAGTATTTTTATCCGCAACAGGGTCGAAGACATTAATTATCACCATTTGCTACTGTACATAAGAAAGATGACCTGCTCCCAGGGGAATTATGAGGAAATTGATTTGGGAGAATTGGTAAAGCAGATTCTTCCCCTAGTGAGTCTCAAGGCAGGCTCCTTTGCCACTAGCCTCTCTGATGGGGCAGAGTCCCCTTTCCTCTAGATTTCGATTATTTTTTTTCTCTCCTGCTTTATTTGATTCCAATTGTATCTGTGTTAGTGTCTCCTCAAACAATGAGCTTAGAGGATAATTCTCTTGCAAAAACAACAGCTCGATCCAAATTGTGCATCTCTGTTGCCTATTGGAGGGAGAAATAGTTACAAAAACCAAAACCAAAAGAACAATAGCAAAAATCAAATTAAAACTAAAGAAAGCCAAACTCTTAAACCCCAACCCCAAAATCCCGAACCAGCAGCAAGGATAGTAAATACTAAGCCCCGTGCACTGTTCTTCTGACTGGCTGGGCAGAGTTGCAGAACAAAGCCAAAGCGGAGACAGGACCCGTTTGGAAAGAGTGAGGAAGTGAGCGGGGGTGGCCCCCAGCGCGCCCCGGGGCCGGAGCTGGTACCGGAGCCGGTGCCTCAGGGTCGAGGTAAGACGAGGCGATCCCATCTCCGATCCGCTACCCAACTGCCCCGGGCAGCTCGGTACTGGACCTGGATGCAAAGTACAGTGTGTTACTCTCCAGTGCTGTCCATGCTTCTCATCATGTGTAATAATGAGCAGGGTTCTTGCCTTTGCATTTTTCGGTCGGAGTTGCTCTTTTCTTTGATTGCTTTTTCTTGTAGACCCTCCCGCCTCTCATCCTCTCTTCGAACTTTTCTGAACTCTGTTTAACCCACTTGAGTCACCTTTTTGGGTTATGTTCTTTTTGGAAAAAAAAAAAAAAGATTGTGAACGCTCTCTCACTCCTTTGTTCTGTTTTATGCAAGCTCTTATTGTACAAGTTTAGGAACCCCTGTTGTAGCTACCACTAAAGAATTATGCACTACTACGAAAGTTTTTGTTCCTTGTTTATTGAGTTTGGAGGTAAAATGTATTTTTCTACATTCTGGCTTATTGCTTAGTAAAATTTATTTCATAAAACAAACTTTTGTCATAAAAGAATGTGTAGTGTTCACCTGTGGTCCGGTTTCTAACGAGATAAACCATTTTCACCTCATCTCTCTATGTACGGACTCCTATCTTACCTTCCACCTGGGGGCTGGTTCTGTCCCCTGCCTGGGCCGGGGGACGAAGGAGAACACGTAGGTACCCGTTTCCTTCCAGCTCACCACACAAACCTTACAGGAGTCTTTCCAAAGACACAACACGAGCCCCGCATCCAAGACGTCGGAAAAAAAAACCCCAAAAAACCCCTGGCGGGTAAAAACCCTCCTTCCCAGGCCGGGAAGGGTCGCCGGGAGGAGCGGAGCAGGGAGGGCAGAACCCGGCGGGGCGGGCAGGCGCTGCCGGCACTGCCTGTCCGGGCTGCCCGCACTGCCGGCACCGCCCTGCCGGCCCTGCCGGGGCGGGCCCCCCGGGGCGCAGGGACGCGGGGCGCAGTGTGCAGCTTTCGTGCCTTCTCTTCACCTTGTAAATCGCCACGAGTTCACGGATGGCTATTTAGTGGCCCTACGATGCTGCAACACATCGGCTTGCGTTTTAGTCGTCCTTCTGTTCTTTGGCCATGGGCAGAGTGCGCTGTGTTTGTGTCGGCTGTGGTATAATGACATAGGGCTCTCGACGTTTTGTTTATGACCTTATCAGTTAGAGTTCAGTGGCTAGTCGCAAGCATTATGAAGTGATCGCCTAGGTTATTATACTTTGTACGATTTCCTTTTTTTTTTTTTTTTTTTTTTTTTTAGAAACGCCAACAGCCTTACCAAAATTTGAGCAGATTTGAGATACAGTCATAGTAGGTAGATATTAGTCTTGGAGAACTTTTGTGTGCAAATGAATATAAAAAGAACTTAAACAAAGTATTATTACACACATGATATCTATAACTAGGACTTTGATAACTGTTATATAAAGTGTGTAAAGTTTGTATTAATAAATTTTTGTAAACAATGCAATTTCGTCTAATGTTTGGGGGAGAGAAATCTAGAACCTAACAGTGAAAGCTACATTTCATTTAATTTATTTTTTTAAAATTAGTTAATTTTTAAGCAGCGTTCTGCTGCGGTGTTTCATGCCTGGGATATCTTTTTATTAAGTCTCCACATTTTATCACCAGATGACCTCTAACATTTTTATCGATGGTTACTACTCTGTTCGAGTAAACTAAACAGAACTGCTGAAGTAAAGAGCCTACTTCCACACACACCAGCTCAATAATAGTCTCTAAAATATGCAAACCAAACTGGTCGGCGCCTACGGTCCATTCCTCTAACAATTCCTGTGCTTAGAAGCCGTTTATTTTAAGCAGAATCCCGTCTGTTTGATGAGATCTTCACCTAATCCGCTTTTAATGAACATTCTGTATGCGACAATGTGCTTCCAAGCGTCACTCGGCTTGAGCAACGGCAGCATCTTTCTCTGGATTCAAGATACACTGAGCTGTCCTAAAAAAATTATACTGTAACACGACAAAGTGTTCCTTAGGTTTTACAGCGTAGTAGGTGTCTACAGTGAAAAAGCACAGGGTAGTTTGTCGGCACTAAGTGGAAGTCGGGATACCCAAACTTTCATCTTCACTTTAATTTAGCAATAGTTGTTTATGTTAATTATTTTTTATTGTAGCTCCGGCACTTTACTCAAATATGTGGGCAAGTATCAGCAATTTACTTTAAAGTAAACTCTACTTCTTTCTAAGATCATACAATTAAAAAACAAAGCACAGGAATTAAATGACAATTTCCTACAAATTGATTTTTCAAAACTCTTAGGTCCAGAATTTGAAACAGGCTGGTCATATCCTCTCTGCCATGAATTCACCTTCTAAGCTATTTCAACAACAGAATTTTACTGATTAACTGGACAACACCAGAGAATGTAGAAAACTAATGGCATCAGTGTTATGTGTTAGGAATTACTGAAAAGTCAGATAAAAGTGCTCATTAAATACAGATCAGGTGAGAAGAATGAAAAAAAAACCCAAAACATACCTGTTGGGGGGAGGGGGAGAGGACAGCGATTTCCCAGACTTATAGCATAACAAAATCCAGCCATTGTTTTCCAAGGACAGCATGCAGCAAAAAATTGCTCGTAGGTTTATTCAGTAATTATGCAGTGCTGAGACATATAAACACACTACATTTCCATTTCCTGTCTATCAAAATTGAAAATGTGATTAAGACATCCTAGCTAAAGACCATGGTGGTATTGGTAGCTTGAGAATGAAGCTTAGGATCGGTCCACCTGAAATATAAGGTCTTCATGAAGTCCTGGAACTTGTTGAAGATGCAAATTCTGCTGTAAATCACATAGAGATGGTCCTAGCCTCACTCTACTCAAATTCGTCTTTACCAAATTGAATACAGTTTTATGAAGAAGCTCAGCTCTGTTCTCATTGATTTAAACTGCCACCTGGAAATTGTGCAATACTGAGTATTACAACATGAGTTTTGTGGGCATTACTGGTGTTCTGTGTGCCGCTATATGTCTATCAGCAGAAATGGATAAAGCCAGCTGAGGAAACAGGAATGACTAGACAAGACATGGCTTTGGAGCCTCATATTGTATAAACCTCCTCACATTCAGTCAAAATAATAAACTCCAGTCAATTAGTAAAGGAAGCTGAACAGAGCAGACAGACTGCTCCAGATTCCAACCCTAGGAAATGTGGTACAACACCATATCTGTCACAGAGCTACATAGGTCACAAAAAACAGAAAAGTCAGTTTCTGTAGAGCCCTGTTTTTAACCCAGCTGTAGCTGGCATCTGCCTTTCACAAAATGAGCTTATGAGGCTGTTGACCTCCTCTCCATATGCCTTTGGAGCCTTTCAGTCTTCAAAACACACTTCATGTATTGTCTGTATATGTTTTCACCTAGAGTTAAGGAAAATAGAAAATCAGAAGGAAATTTGATCTTTTGTGGGCTTGCTACTTGATATCTTTGCAGCTTACTCTCCCCTTATAGAATAAATAATTTAGCCTTTCTTCAAGAAAAACCTTCAGGGGAAAGCACATATCTGAAAAATGTAAGGACCTCATTCTTAGCCTCTAGAAGTACATGTCTTCTGAACTACATTAATGGATTTTTAAGACCCAAGGGGACTTTTATGATCATATACTCTCTTTTAGATAATACAGGGCATAGGATTTCATGGAGTCCTTCATTTAGCATTTCATTTCTGAGTGAGCTGTTCTGTATGACAGCAGTATTGATTGCAAAGCTTGCATGGATGGCAAATTTACTGGATAAGTTGTTCCAAATGTGGCAGTTTAGCACTCCGTTCCTTGTCTCAGTTTGTCTCATTTTTGAGTCCAGGAGATTTGTAACCTGCTGAAGAATCTCTAATGCCTGTGGATTTCCCTCTGCATGTAGGTAGTCCTAGGCAGAGATTTACTCTCCTCTGTGACCTTTCTTTGAGGTAGTAAGGTTGATCTTTAAGTGCTCAGCATGAGGAAGATTTTTCACAGGTGGCACTATTTCTGAACTATTTGTATTTATTAACATCCTTGCTAAACTGTTGAGACTAGAAACGATTACAGTACCTAGCAGTGATCACCTTGAGGATATGACAAAAAGTAGTAACTTTCCTCTTCTTCGTCAGGGAATGCTCATTGCTAACAAGAGTTGCATTTGCCCTCTTGGCCATTTTGTCCTGCTCTGAGATCATGATCTGCTCATAATCCTCTCCCACAGCTAGCTTCTTTTCCAGATGATTACTTTGCATGCACAGAAGCCATGACCTGGAAGTGACCAAGTGCTTCTTGGTACCTATTTTGTAGTGTTTTGTGTTATGTTGTGTTAAAATCTTTTTTTTTTTTTCAGATATTTTACCTTATTGAGCTACTATTCTGGGAATAATTCCTTTCTTTTACTGCACAACAACTCAGCTGTTATCTGGCACCCATTTCTGCCACCTTTAGAAAGTGTAGACACATTCCAGCAATGCTGCTTGCGTATTTGTGCATTGTGATACATGGACCCAATTCAGCTGCAATGCAGATCTGTATAATAATTCCAAAGAAGGATTTGACACAGCTATAAGTGCAAATCCTGGGACAGAGCAAGTCAAAGTGACTTGTAGGAGGCCTCTAGATCTCCTTCTTTTTGCTCTTGGGTTCCTAGAGGCAATCCCATCCTGGCACAGCTGAGGTCCCATTCATTCTAAACCTGTGCGGGACATTTGGAAGTGCTTTTTGGTAAAACCATGGCTCAGTTACTTACCTGGAATATGCACAGAAGAGAAGTAGTACATGATGCATTAGAGGTAATGTGGTTGAACTGCTAAACCTAATGAATCTTTTGAAATAATTAGTTAATTGGCTTTTGATAAGATTTATCTAAATGTAAAAATGGGATTTAGCTTTGAACAGGGATATTTGAGCACCAAAAATATACCAGTTTAAAAGCAGTGAAGGCAAGCTATGTTTACCATTTATGCAAGAGTGTTTGTTTTGATACTTCAATAATGAAATATCTAGGAGAAATAGATGTATTGATTTCTGAAACAGTATAATTTATTTATGAGAGAGAAGATCTCTTTCTCTTCAGGCTCTGAGGTCATTTTCAGGCATTCTACTTCGAAAAGAATGTCCTGGAGATTTTTGACAGTATGAAATAGAGGAGTGCAACAGAAAAACGATAGTCACTTCTAATTCTTCTGTGATGTCCCCCAGTGTCTCAATACCAGGATGTCATAGAATCATAGAATATACTGAGTTGGAAGGGACCCATCAAGATCATTGAGTCCAACTCCTGACCCTGTGCAGGACACCCCAAAAATCCACACCATGTACCTGAGAGTGTTGTCAAAATATCTCTTGAAGTCAGGCAAGCTTAGTGCTGTGACCACTTCCCTGGGGAGCCTGTTCCAATAGTCATCTACTCTCCAGGTGAAAAACTGTTTCTTGATATCTAACCTAAATCTCCCCTGACTCAGCTTCATGATGTTTCATTGAGTTCTGTTACAAGAGTGAAGAGATTGGTACTTGCCCCTCTCCTTGCCCTCTTGAGGATGTTGAAGACCACAGGGAGGTCTCTCCTCCATTTCCTCTTCTTCAGGCTGAACAAACCAAGTGATCTGAGCCACTCCTTATAAGGTCTCCCCTCCAGACCCTTTACCATCCTCATGGCCCTCCTTTGGACACTCTTTATTAGCTTAGTGTAATTTTTATCTTGTAGTACCCAAAGCTTCATGCAGCACTCCAGGTGAGGCTGTGCTAGTGCAGAGAAGAGCAGGACAATCACCTCCTTTGACCTGCTGGCAATGCTGTGCCTGATCCACCCCAGGACACTGTTGGCCCTCCTGGCTGCCATGGCATGCTACTGACTTATATTCAACTTGTCATTGACTAGGACCCCCAGGTCTCTTTCTGCAGCATTGTTCTTAAGCCCAGTCTGTACGTACATCAAGGGTTGCCCCATTGCAGGTACAGAATCCAGCACATTCCCTTGTTGAAATTCATCTGGTTGGTGATTGCCCGTCCCTCTAATATGTCAGTCCCTCTAATTTGCCATCTTCCACAGGCATCCAGGTAGGACCTCGTTTTTCTCATTTGCTGGATCAACCATTTGGGAGTGAAGGGCCTGCTGATTTCAGGTGGGTGTTGAAAGATTTAAACAAAAATAATGTATTTTTTTTCCTCTCTGCTACACGTTTCTGAAAGTCACGTGCTTTGTCTTCTGACTCCTTGCTCCCATCAAAAAGGTTGGTCAGCATCATGTCCTGTCCCTTTTAGCAGGATTAATATGCTTCTCTGATAGCATACCTCCCTTTTGGTATGCATATTTATAGATGTAGAGGGTAGACTGAGGAAACAGTTGCCCAGGCTAAAGGGTTTGCCCTTCAAGATTTGACAACAAATCTAAATATATATTCATTTTGGACAGATTAGATTAGACTCAGCCTATGGCTGATCTCTGTTTTGACATTTATCTCCATGGTGAGAAGAATGGTTACTTTTGAGTGGTAGAATTATGAATAAATGACTGCCTTTCCCTCAGGAGTGAAGATTAGTGTCACAAGAAATCAGCCGTCATGTATGTTATATGCTGAATGTGTACTCTCTCAGCTCCCACTGCTTGGATGGGATTGAAACTTTCCTGACAGTTTGAGAGAATGAAGAGTGCTTGGGCGTTGTGGCAATCAGGCTGCTCTGAAAATGGTTAAACTTTTAATCAGTTGTGAGCTCTTATGTCACCAGAAAAATAACAATATATGTAAATAAAATTGCAAAAATAGTACAAAGAAATAGTTCTCTCCCTTGCTATGTATATATATGCATATGTGCATGTACATACATATATTTCTTAAGCAGACAAAAATGAGATCACATTCAAGTTCCGATATTTATGTATTGGCCATAGCTAAACTTAGACACAACATCTAATTTACACTGACGTCTTTCTTTAACAAGTTTTGTAAGAGGAATGATTTAAGTTCAAGGAAGTGCACTGAGTCATCTGCACGGTGGGCCAGTGGCTGAGCTAAGTTTAGAATCAAGGGGAAGTTTGGATCTTCTGGCTCCAAGTTTCTCCTTTTACACCTCTACTTTTCTCAAACATTCTCACTGCTTAAAAAAAAAAGACATTTTCTGCACAATTTCTATTCTTTCTTTACTTGATTTTTTAATGTATCCTTGGTTCTTTGGTCTTCTATAGTAAATCAGAAAGTTTAGTTTAATGAGCTATTCAAGTTTTTAAAATTGGGTTAGCTGATGAGCTTGCAAATAGTGCCTTGTGACATCTCTGTTTCAGGAGTGCTGAGATTAAAAAGCATAAACGAAGAACGTGAGGTCTGGTCAAGTGATGAAGCTGAGCAAGGCCAATCCAGGACAGCCTACCCAGTACAACCTCTGTTGCTACTTGTTTGGTATAAAACTACACATAGTCATTCTCCTCAGCCCTCTTTCCTCCAGAGACTTTCTGTGGGCCAATGAGTTTCCTGCCAGAACAAGGGTGTCATGCAGTTTATGGCACATCATGCCCTGTGAGGAATCCAGCTCATTCCTCCACTGAGAGACACCTCTGAAAACACACTCACGGCCAGAACAAGGGAAGACCAGAGCACTTTCTCCATAAATAAGCTGCAGCCAGGCTACTTCCAGCAGGTTATGAGCCTGCCTCCTCTTGACAGATGTGGGATACAGTTCTTGTGCAATGTGGGTTAGAGCTTCACGTGCTCCTCTACACTCTTCGGGCACCTTTCCCCAGCACAGCCCAATAGATATTACAAGGCACAACCTATCAAATGGTTAATCTGCTGCTACAAATCAAATGGTTAATCTGCTGTTGTACAACTTCTATACATTTTATTTACTTTTTTTTTTTCCTGGCTCAGCAAATATACAAAGACTAAGGAAGACTGGCCAGACTCTAAGACTATGCATGTTTAGTAATTTCTGGTGTCTCTAGCTGATTTGGTGCATTGCTGTGTTTTGTATCAGGAAAGAGTCATGATATAGCTAAGAGGTGATTAAGCCCAGGAATTTGTGCAGCATACTGTATGCAGGCAAGTGGAACATTTATACTGAAAGGAAGCAGTTTTCTGATTGCATTTTGCTTTGCTATAATAAAATGTAGTTAATTTTTATAACAGTTTCATTTTATTCTAGTTATACTGTAATGACAGCCTTATTACACCACTGTTTATGCTTTTTTTAAGCTTAGTCATTGTTTAATCTTATGAACAGAGAGTCAACTTCATGCCTGATATTTGCTGCAGCTCACACTACTGAGCCCTAACACTATGGCATGGGGACGTATAATCAGTTAGATAACCCGGTCATGATAAGAATCCTACCAGGGGAACTCCATACTGTTGTTACTTCCCTGTAGAGCTGGTCATTCACAAAAAAAAAAAAAAGAAATTAGAATCTAATTGAATCTGTTGAAATCTATTAATTATCAATTATCAGTACCCAACAGGAGTGCAACTGCGTTTGCACTGTATTCAGCTTTATTTTACTGATAATGATAGTGTCAATGTTAATGGGGCTATAAAGAGAAGGAAAATGCCACTCAATGTGAGTGAGCTTCATCACAATCTGACCCTGTCTCATTAAAAAAGACTTTTTCAGCATGTGTAGTCTTTTCATATTCCAGATCAGTGGTTCCTAAAGGGTGGGCTTCAGAGTCAGAAAATCACAATACCCCCTTGTAACTTCACAGTAAGCAGCTGTCACTCTGCTAAGATAAATGCCACCTTTTATAAGCTGCAGTTACTGTTCACTTTTCTCCACTCTCCTTATATCGCTGCTTTGACCTAGTCTGAGTCATTCCCTGCATGGGAAAACGTTTCTTCCTGTGGGCATACATTATGACTGGGGTTGTGTACTGATAAAAGAGGGATAATGCGTCCTCTGACTCCTCAGTGAAATACTTCATCCCGGAATTAGGATGTACACACAGTGAAGACAAAAACCAGCAGGAGTTTGTTAGACTCCCGTCCTATAAGTAGGTGACAGGTCTTTTTAAATGGTAATGAATACCTCACCTGTACACCTGCATGGGGACCGGGTAGGCACAAGCTGGGAGTATGAGGTAGGAGCAGAGGGTGTCCAAAGGTTCTGTTGCATCTATGTGCAGAGACCTCAAGAAGGCACCAAAGAGGAAGAACTTTGTTTCTCCACTTTGTTCCTCCTTTGTTCTCCTACTTTGAATTGTGAGAAATAAGGACTGACTACTTTTCTGCTCAGCTGTAGTGGCAAGACCTTAAAAGCGTTCCTATGGACCAGGCCAAGGGCTATCCCAGCAGCTTGTTTCTGATGGTCACCAACAGTTTAAGAAATGTCTTCAAATTTGGGCATGTGGAAGGACCATCTCTGCCAAAATGAGCATCTGGACACCAAGTACTTGCTACTCATAAGCTACCTTTATACGAGTGTTTAACAGACTTGGACATCCATTGATTTAGTGTCTCCTTTTTAAAGTCCATTTTTATTTTAAACTTTGTTTTAGCAATGAATATCCCATTTTAATTGTGCACTATATGCTCTTGTGATTTGATAAATTAGATTGTTACATGCATAACCACCCTCTGAAGACACCTCTGAGTATCTATAGTCAAAGTATCATTTCTTGTCTATTCCTTGGCAGGATATATGTCAGCTCTTGGAGATTATGCAAAAGTCATAACTCATTAAAACCCACAAATCTTATCTGAATTATTATTATCTGTTTATTCTTCCTGTCTTGTTTACAATTTAGGGCTTTTCAAAATTTTTTGCTATGACTTATAAGCTATTTCACTTTGTGTTTATACCCAGTACAGCTTTTTATGTATCAGGAGCATTCTGACTTGTTTCTCTAACAATGCCTTTAGAACAAACACCATAAGAAAGCACTGTATGATAGCTTTATTATGCTTTCCATATAGCTCCAAAGCCTGAGTTTGAAATCTAGGAGTAAATTTTTGCAACTAAACCACAAATAAACCCAGCAGTGCTTCAGGATCCTTTTGTAATACAAAACCACATATTTGAATACCAGCTTCAGCTGTTTCTACATCTTGTGAAACAACTTGTAGTGATTACACTGAAACATTAAAGAAATCACATAATTTTTCACCCATTCTGAGACTTTCACCAGCTTGGTCAAAAACTAGATTTATTTTTGTTTTGAAATGTTCTTTTTTTCACATATATATATGCACACCCAATTGCACAGAGACTATAGTATGGCCACCTAGGCAAAAAGAGGTACCACTAAAATACCTGGCAAGATTCAGAATACCCAAAGAGTGTCATATTCCTTTGAAGCTCACAGAGAGGTGCTGCTGGTGCTTGCTGCATTTCATGGCTGAAACACTTTCAAGTACAGAATTCCCTCTGGCTTTCAGTGACTTTCTGCATGCACAGAAATCAGCCCAGGCTCACTGCTGTAGGAATGCGAAAGGGGCAGGCTGGTGCCTTTCTCTGACCACTTGAAATTTAGATACTCTGCATCACAGTGAAAGACATAAGCCAGCAAGAGTTTGTTAGAGTCTGGCTGCCTTAATCAGAAAAAAAATCTGGTGAGCTGAAGATGTCCAGATGGGTTTATAAAGATAAAAATAACAGACTGTGTCCTTCCCCTATGACAAGAAATAATTCCATGTTGGTAATGCTTCCGCAATATACCACCTCTGCTGCCACCAGGGCAAGTTCCACAGAAAAGAGTCTCTCATGATCATGAGTGAGGGCAAGCGGGACTCCAGCAGGAGCTCTGCATGTAGCTCAGAAAGGGAAATAGTGCTGCAGAATAAGAAGATACCTCCAGGAAAGAGGACTCGACTCAATCAGCAAGATTCGTTGGTGCCAGCACACAGACAACATGGTCAGGGAAAACTTCAGGTAATGGTTTGCACTGGCAAGGAGCTGTGCTGCAGCACTGGGGTCTGTTCTGATATCAAATTGTCTTGTGTTAACAGGTCTATCATTTTGTTGAGTACCTTATACCAACCACATGGGAAAAGCCAAGCTAACCACACAGTGGACATAATTCTATAATGAGTGTTTCATCTTGGGTGGAAAAGAGGATGGAATTCATATCAGATCAATAAAAAGTTACATATACACCAAGGTTATTTTGGGTGCTGGGGTTCTATGTTTCCAAGCCAGCATAAAATCATCAGATTGTTTTTCAAGGAGCATTTTCTCAAGAGTTTTAGCAGTGAAAAGAGAGAATTAGGAGTTTGAGTCCTGCTAGATGTAATTGTAGTCATGACTGTGAGCTTCAAACCAGATCCCTTTCCCTAGGGCCCCCAGTTACTTGCACTCCTCCATCAGCCTTGCAGCAGCCAGACTCTCTGCTCTCCTTGGTCTGCACATGAAACAGTCTGTGAAGGAAATCTGTCCTTCCACTAAAGCTGTTCAACATACCTTTTCACAAACCCTCGGTTTTGCACACCTTAACATTCATGGTCAGTAGAAGAGAGGAGGGAGCTCAGTGGGGCTTCCCTCTCATTCTGCTGCCTGGAGGGGGCTGGAAGCCACTTGCAAATGCAGTGGATGAGCACTTGCAGACAGTGCTTTAATCCTGACATTGATGTTGAATGATATTGAACACAAATGCTATTCTCTTTAATGAAGTCTCTACAGGGAAACCTGGAAACAGTGCTGTAGGGATGGCCTGATGCCTTTGCCAAAGGTGGAGAGGGAGGGTGGGTGACCCTTTGGTGAATCATGCTCTGCTCAACCAGAAAGATGAAGAGTAACGCAACTTATCTTACAATTCAGGTCGTGCTCTATGTAAAGCTAATTCAGGAACCCACTTGTATTGATTATTCTAACTCTGTCCAGACTGTGAAGATCCTATTTAATATCTTGCTTTTTGGCTTAATAGATATAAATGATATAGGTTTGCTCTTGAACATTAAGCCTGCCACTACTTACCATCTCAAAATTTGACTCCCTAAAAAACAGCACTGAGTGTCTTTGCACCTTTAGATATGGAGATGAAGTATTAGGCTTCTCTTTTACCACACCCTATCCCTTTATTTCTCTTCCTCGGTTTTGGATTTGCAGTACATAAGAAGACTCCTAGTTTTGGACAAGAGCTGGCATTAAAAGTGCATCAGGTTACTGCTGTTAACAAGCAGCTTGCCTCTTTAATCTGAGGTAAAGCAGGGACTGGATGTTTCTGGATCATTCTGCTTCTTTAGGTTGGTAGTAAATATACCCTAGGGTTTGACATTGAGGGCTGAAGACACCAGGAGGAAGAGATGGCCTGGTGCCTGAGACAGCACTGTGTTCATATACCTCCCACCCATCTGCACAGATGTTTGATGTTCACTAGTGTAGCTCTTTGTCCTGGTAACATACTCAGTTTTCTGTGGGC